TGGTGCGGGTGGTGCGGGCTGGCTCCTCCCACCCCTTGGATCCGCACTAAACATTAAGACAATGTGCTGATTAATGGTGCTTTCTTAAAATTTAGGCTTACATTTAAATCTTATGTGAAGATATTTGAATGATGTAACCATTATGTAACTTGGTGCAAGAATACTCTTAAACCATGCTTAAGTTATCCTTGCAACTTCACTCAACCAAGGACTATAAACTAGAAATTGCAAATTGCAAGTGAATGCCGTGAAGTACAACAGCATATAAATGTTCTTCGAACAAAATTATTTATGCGATAAATGTTGTTCGAACAAAATTATTTATGCGAGTCAAGTGAAAATAATGAATAATAAAAATATAACAAATAATATGAGACACGACCCATTGTCTATATTAGAACACTTCTCATTGGGTAACAAAGTCGTAATTTTTTATTTTTCTCAAAAAGTGTCTATTATAATGGTGAATTATGGTTTAGGTTTTTTAAAATAAAGTTTCAAAAATGTGTATGTATGTGTAAAATGTAGTTGATTACCAAAGGTTACAATTTTTATTTTGAAGACTGCATGGTCTAGGAAGTGTACATTTTCTTATGGGGCAAGTTTCCAAGGGCGGGTTTTCTAGGGGCGAGTTGACTGCCAAAGAGTGTTGCCAAAGTGCGAGCCAGTGTGTTATTTGATCACAAGTGCGAGACATCGCAAGTGTGAGCCAGCAAGCCATGACGTCACGACAATAGATACGAGACGTTACTTGAGTTGTGCGAGGTATTGGCTGAGATTTGTGGAGTGAAATTCAAAAAACAACTATAGGTCTAATAATGAATTATTGTGATGTTAAATAGACAATGTTAGCTATCAAGGAGCGACGTTGTTTTTCATTGGGACCTTCGTCCCTTCAAGGCTAGGCCTATACCATCCTAGCTAGTCTAGGCCTAGAGTAGGATAAGGCTAGCGCGACATGCGGACGTTGGTATGTGTTGGTTATTTTACAAACGTCGCCTAAAGTAATTGATTTTACCCGGCAGAACAAAAGAAGGGAACTCCGCTTTTCAGTCGTCTTAGGCTCTTGTTTTTTTGACAAACAATGACCTTTCAGAGGTCAAATTGCTGTCAAGAATATGAATTGGCTGCTTCGCAGCAATTATAAGTCATTAACTCAAATAACATCACTTGACCGTTGACAGCGTGCCAACAAAAGGCGCGCAATTGTGAGTAGTGCGATGTGAGGCGACTAGTGCTGACCGTATAGAAAATAAATGAAAACACAAAAGAAATATTCAACACTTACATAGAGAACATGCATACACAATTTATTTAACAGACTGCAGAATAGCAATTCAAATATCTAAACTCTAAGAATTATACATAAATATGCTTCACAGTCTAAGCCTATATGCCCTTGTTAAAAATACATAAAACATCGTAGAGAAACAAACGATCGAAGAGGCATCCAAAATCTAGAAAAGCATGTATTATAAAAATCTCGTATATCATTTGTATCCCTAGTTGTCGTTGTACATTATGTTATATATATCTTTTGGGGAATACTATCTAGCTCTAGAAGAATAAAGCGATTCGAAAAAGGCCTCATCAAAGGTGCCGTAATCCGTACCCGTATATACACATGGGCACTGGAAGCGCCCTCTACATGAGTAAAAAGAACAACCGCATCCTTCACAGACCTCTTTGAGATAATCTCCGTAACATTCGCCAAAATGGAAGAACTTTTCACCAGAGTTAATGTACATAGAATCGCAACACTTGCCGGTCACATACAAGCCATGTTTGCACGTTTTGTTCGGACATTTCACAGCTGCGTCCAGACCAGTGGACCCATATCTTGGATGATCTGGCTGGTAGAGGAGGTCTCGGATGGTCACTTCTAGTTTATGATGACAAAGAAAGCACGCATCGGAAATTACTACATTGTCCAAAGGTTTGTCACTGCTGATGTCAATGTAACCCATCCGGATTCCTACTCGAAGACATCTGCTGACGCTACTGATATTTGTGACGCCTTCTTTTTCAAGCATTCTGTTAACAGTATTCATGGAAATTCTGGTCTTCACATCTTTTATGCCAAGTAGGCGCAAAACCATCTCCCGCCTCGTACCAGACACCTTCATTTGAGCATCTCGACAGGCTGACAATACATTAAGCGACTTAAATCTCTCGATGGACATCCTAAAAAATAAAAATAACACAAGAATTAATAAAGAAATTTTAAAATAGATAAGGTAAATGTGTGTACCATCCGTCTTTTGAATAATTAACCAACATGAGACAGATGGGAATGGCATTAAGTGTCACTTCTGTTTATTAAAATGATTGGAATATTATTATTTTATTTCTAAATAATTACAAAGTGATGTTATTTATGTGACGACAATAATGTATTTTATGTATTTTTATTCATTTTATTGCGTATACTAAACATTAAAACTATCTCAAGGTTCGATATAAAAATGAAATACAAAAATGTTATCATAGAATAAAGTTTAAAACAAATACAATAACAAATTTGAAAATTGTCATCAAAATAAAGTAACATTTTTACATTACAGCTGCTGAATATACGAACGAAGAGCCAATGTGAATGATTTAAAACTGTTGATTGTTCTTATACTAATATGAAGAGATTCCCAAAGGAGAGAAAATTCATGAGGATGCTAATGATGATGATAATGGTAATGATGATAAAAATGAAGACTGGAATGGTAAAGAATGATGACAACGATATCAATGGTGATGAAGAAGAAGATGATGATGATGATTATGATGATGAAATCAATAATGACACTAATAATGAGAATGACAATAATGGTATTGATGTTAATAATATTATAGATATTATATATGAAGATGATAGATGATGATGATCATCATCATATTGATGGTGATAATGATTACATTGATTATGATTACAATGATTACATTTTCTTTAAAAAATTATATTAAGTTCTATAATTATATACTCCTGTATATATAGAACTTAGCATAAAATTGTATATCAAGTTCTATATATACCCCTGTATATATAAAATTCAATATATATATGTATATTAAGTTCTATATATATAATATATATACTCATATAGAACTTAATATATATATTAAGTTCTATATATACACAGGTGTACGGTATATATTATAACTGAATATATATTAAGCTCTATATATACAGAAGTATATATATCACTTAATATATATTAAGTTCTATATATACAGGAGTATTCATAGAACTTAATATAAATTTTATATATATACTACATACAGGTTTAAAAAAGAAGAAAAATTGGTTCGCTATAGAGCCCTTCAAACCAATTCAGGTTCGTTAAATTGATTTTACAACTATTTACAGAACCCTTCAAAATAAAGAACCTTTTTACACTGAGGGTTCCATATACAGGACAACCAAGAACCTCTGAAGAACTCTGAAGAGTGTAACATTTTGAATTAATTCATTTTGTAAATTAAGAATTGAAAGATTGTTGCTTTCTTTCTTTTGTTTTTTCTTCATCTATATATATTTTTTATTTTTTTAATTGTTATTTCAATAGGGCTACTTTCAGTAGTCTAAATTTATTTATACTACTATTTGTTAATTAGAATTTCGTGCCTTTACTCTTTTTGTCTTGCATTTACTGTGTATTGAGGGTCCTCAATGATTACTTTCGATCCTCATTAAAGATTGTTGAAATAAATAATGTAAAGTAAACAAGATAATAATTTTAAACACATTAAATATATTTTCTTGGTATAATAATACTAATAGTATTTTTACAACATAAAAAATAAATTTATAAAATAAAATGCCAAAATTTTTCAGTAGTCTTGATAAATAAGCTTCATTATAGATAAATTTTAAAGCTTTATGAAATTATTGCGTTAAAAAAATAACAAAAGATTGTTTTCCTTCTTGTAATGAGCGTATAATATAATATGGCTAAATATTTAATAATTATTCAAAAAATATAAAAAAGTAATAAATTACTGAATGAAAAGACGATATACTTACATTCTAATCTGCTGACGTTGCCAATGTAATACAAGTAAAATAATAATTTGATTGTCTAATGCACTTTGTTAGGAAATCTTCAGTGCTGACTAAAAAATACTGTTATTGAGTAAGAAAACACGTTGTTTTATAGCCCGCCGTATAAAAGCAATACATCTTTCCATCCAATCACTGCTCGAATATAGAATTTCAATGTGTTGGTTAATGTAAATAAATTGTCGGTTTTATCAAAGCAGAAACTTTTCCGAGTAGAAACGCCTTAGAAATACGGAAACAACAGGCTGACAAGGGTGGGGCCGTAAAGCGCTAATAATGAAAAGCATTGAGAAAGGTTCCAAGCAATTCTATTGTTGTATTACTTATAGTGTGATGAAACCAATGTATAACGACAGAAAGTTTTGTTAATTTTATCAATGATTATGATTTGCTTTGTCAGTATGCCTTCAAACCGTTATGAGAATAATTGGTGACGCCATTTTTGAAAACATTATGGAAGATATTTTTAAGGAAATCCATAAAGTATACTATATGTTTATTATAACGGATATGAGGAAGGTGGAACTACCTGTGATTGGTTGGAAACGAGAATGGTTGATTGTTAATGGTGTGAATACTTATTCATAGTCTAATGAGAATTGTAATGGTATCATTAACTGAGTAGTGTAACATCCAACAATATGGCATTGTGTTTAGTTTAACCTGTAGATGTGCTGACATCAATCAAAAGCCATCACAATACCTTCGTTTCATATGGTTTCACACATTCATAAACTACAGTAAGCTTAGAGTTGGGTTTTTTATGTGGCATATTCGTATCCTGTAGTCAGGATCTTCAGTTGCGAATCCTTTAAAACGAGATTTGCCTAAACATTTGTTAAAATGGCGTTTGAGAAAGTTTTTGAGTGCGTAGGTGAGTCCGGATACTATCAGTTGAGAATTTTTCATATGATTTGCCTGGTATCTATCCCCGTTGCATTACATACGATGTTGCCTCTGTTTATAAACGCAGAAACAGAGCACCACTGTGCGACACAGTCTCTGGAAAATGTTAACTGCTCTTTGTGGAATCTCAGCGAAGAGGAGTGCGAGATTGCCAAACTTAACATAACTCTACCTCAAAATGACAAAGCTACACCATTGATAAATGAAACTGCTTGCCGATTTCGGAACATCCTGGCTAGTGAATTCAATCCATATATGAATGATTCGCTCAATGAATCGTTTGAAACAGTTCAATGTGATACTTGGATCTACGATAAATCTCAATACACACTAACGGTTGTACAACAGGTAATCGCTCTGATGTAATTTATCTTTGTTAGGCATTTATGGTTTACCTGTGAAACAATAATAGGGAGATGTTTTGCAACTTTACGAAAACATAAAGAGTCCGTCATCTTTATTATACCATTCGGGCCTAAAATG